CTCTCTCTCTCCCTTCTCTCTCTCTCTCTCTCTCTCTCTCTCTCTCTCTCTCTCTCACACACACACACACACACACACACTCACACACACATTATCAAATCACAGTTACAGAGTTACAAAGTTGTTCCCGATTGGGTTTCAGTCATACAGTGTTCCAACACCAAAGAAGCTGTCTTTAAAACCAGAGGAAACTTGGGGCAAGTAAGGTGCTTAGTGCACCCCAAGACCAGGGCTGTTCCCTGGTGGTGGCGTACATGCCTTGCATGACTAGAGACCCTGGTGTCACCCACCCAAAATAATGGTGTTAGGGGGCCAACTCCCCAAGGCAGCCCGAGTAGAGCAGAATGAATGGACTGAGCTACCGGACAGAATCTCAGTCTTGGTTGGATTGGTGCGAGGAGCCTTGGGGGGCTGGGGGCTGTGGGGAGTGGGAACAGAGGGTCGTTGGGGACACTTTTACACAAGCCCCATGGACATCCCGGCATTGGATGATAAAATCCTGTCACCAGCCCCACGCTCTTGTAGCCCGGCAACGCACGTGCTGGCCTCTCTGCCTGACGACCACTCAGATCATCCCAGGGCCACGGCAAGCAGCATCCAGGAGCCGGGTCTGGGCTGGGCTCCTTCACATGCCCATTTTCTGTCTCAAAGCCCCCGCTGGGCCATGACACAGCCTCACGGTCAAGGAGCAAGGCTTCGTGGCTGAGCCCTTTTTCTCTGTGTGCAGCCAGTCCCGGGGCCTGGGAGGGCTCAGCTTCCTTCAGCCCCAGCAGCTCCTCCTGCCAGAGTCTTGCTCAGTCCTTGAACCCGCGGGTGCAGCTGACCCCCTTCCGCGCTCAGCAAAGCCTTTGGAGTTTCCCCGGGTCCTGGACACTCACAAAGTGTTAATGGTGTTAATGAGTGAGCAGCGCTCTGGCCTTCTGTGCTCAGGCTCGAGGTTTAAAGGTTAATCTTCCCCTACCCACCGCCCCCACACCTGTGACTAGTCAGAGAGGAAACAAAGCGAGGCCACTGCTTCCAGGAACAGTTTGGACAACCCCTCTCCCCCACCCCACCCCCATACACCTCTCCACAGCCAGCCTCAGCCTAAACTTCCTTCCATGACAGCCTTAAGTTTCCAACCTAAGGAGTGTCCGCATTTCTGAGACCTACTTTTTCCCAGTGGGGAAAACCGGTTCCAGACTCTTAGCCTGGTCTCAGAAGGAAAAAAACAAAAAAACCCCCCAAAAACCTTAAAAGAAACCCCGGTCCCCAGCTGCTGCTGTGCTCAGAGTGCAGGCAAGGAGGACAGAGAGCCCACCCCCTCCTCCATGACCCCCACCCCCACACCTGTGCCTGCTCGGCCAGGTCAGGAAGGCTGGAGCCACTGTGCTAAGCGGCCACACTGACAGGCCTGCGGATGGCTCCTGACACCCCCAGCTCCTACCTGTGGATAGCGTTGCCACCCCTGGCAGGGAGTCAGCACTGTTTCCCCAAACTAGTCCTGCTTCAGATGCCAGCGGCGACACCAAGTGTCCCACACAGCTCACTGCTGACCGTATGTAAACTGGAGGGGACTGGGGGACAGTGACCTGCGATCCTGCCCCAAGGTTTAGTGATTTGCTAGGCCCATTCACAGAACTCAGATCAACACTACTTACTAGTATCGGTTCATTTAAAGGTATGAGATGAACTTTTGTTTTGTTTGTTTTGGGGTTATACCTAGCGGTGCTCAGGGCTTACTCCAGACTCTTCAACTCAGGGATCACTCCTGGTGGGCTTGGGGGACCAAATGAGATGCTGGGGATTGGACCCAGGCTGGCCGCCTGCAAGGCCAACGTCCTCCCCACTGTGCTATGGGTCTGGCCCGTTCTTACTTCTGGGGGCTTCAGCCTTTGAGGCAGACAAGCACCTCCCAAGCCATCCTGTGGAATCCATCACAGAGAACCAGACAGTGACTGTCCAGCAGCAAAAGAAGCTCAACAGCCTCAAGTGAGGGCTATTGGCTTTATTCAGTATTGTGTCACCATTCCCCGGGCTCCTGCCATGGATAACATCCAAGAACAAAGGTGGAGGGGCCGGAGCGATAGCACAGCGGGGAGGGCGTTTGCCTTGTTCAATCCCCGGCATCCCGTATGGTCCCTCAAGCACCACCAGAAGAAATACTTGAGTGCAGAGCCAGGAGTTACCCAAGCACTGCTGAGTGTGACTCCCTCCGCCCCCACCCCAAGCAAAAAAAAAAAAAAGAACAAAGGGTGGAATATTACATAGCCGTGGTACTAGGGTGACAAGCAGTCAGCGAGTATCTTAATGTGTACTTTGAAGTTATAACCTCCTATCAAGCCCCAGCAGATGTTTCCTGCTTGGCTGCACCTTTGAGCCCCCATTGCTTAAAAAAGGCTAAACTTGCTTTACCAGGGGACACCCCAGACCATGGGATTTTGACTAGGGGGATGAGTCCCACCAGGGGTCACTACCAGGTACCATGGGCCAGGTCCATGTGACAGCGGATCCAACAGGGCCCGTGTGTGAAAGCCTCTGCTCTGCCATCACGGGAGTCACACTCGACTGGTGGCGAGGTGAGCACCCAACGAGAAGCCGAGGGTAGTACAGCACTGGCTATGCCCGATGGAGTTTCGGGTGCAAGCTTGGAACACCTCGAGCTCATTCTTTCTGAAGGGCTGCTTGTTTGTGTTTTGGAAGATTCCCTTTTATTTCATTTGGCTTTGGGGCTATACTTGGCAGTGCCAGGGAAACGTGGGGTTGAGAAACAGGTGCCCTGCCTGAAAAACTGCGGAGCATCGCTCTAGTCAGAAGGGGTCTTGTGGGTATTTTGTAATGAACGGCTGATTCAGGTATGCACTGGCTCCTGGGAGTGAATCAGCCTTCCAAGAAGCTGAAAATTCCAACCCTCTAATGTTACTGACAGTCATTCTGGGCAAGCCCTCAACCTGACACGAGGATTCTGGGGTACATCTGAGCCAGCTCACTAGCATACATGAGACTTCACCTCTGGAGAGTCCAGTAATTTGGGGGTTTGGGGTCTATACTTGGCAGCACTCAGGGCTTACTCCTGGCTCTGCTCTCAGGGATCACTCCTGGTGGGGCTTGGGGGAAATAGAAGTGGTACTGTTGGCTGAACCTGGGTTCACTGAACACAAGGCCCCACCCAACGTCCTATCACTCTGGCACCCAGAGTCCAAGAATTTTAGGAGCTGAGGGTCAAGGACTAGAAAAAAGACCAATTATTTATCTTTTACTACAGTCCAGTCCAGACACATGAAAAATCATCTCCCTGGACAAGTGAAAGAATTAAGGGGAATTCGGGGAGGCTGAAGCAAGAGGAACAGTACCTCTCCTTTCTCCATGCAGGAGAGGGGACATCTATGAGTTTATTTTCTTTCATGATAGGGGTTTGAATCAGCTGAGCCAATGGATGAGCTAGAATTGAAATAGCCCTTTGTGAGTGAGATTCACCCTCGAGTTTTTTGCACCAGCTTGTGCATATACAGTTTCTCCTATTAACTCTTACCACCTGTCCCCATAGAACACTAGATGCACAAAGTGTCCACCACTCAAGGAAGTTTAAGGCCAGGGCCAAAGAGATAGTACAGAGTGCAGTAGAGTGGTTAGAGTTGCATACAGCCAGTCTAGGTTTAATCTTCAGCACCCCCCGCCCCGCTACCCGGAGTGATCCCTGAGTACAGAGCCTGGAGTGAGCCCAGAGCACTGCCGGACATGACTCAAAACAAAACAAAAAAACTAAAACCAACATGTTCAAAGTTGCAAAAGGCTGGAGATTATTTAAGTATCAACCTGCAGGGGTGGTTGAGTGGACCATGGCACTTCTACACCCTGATACTCCCGATATTAACAATCCATGGTGACCCTCCTGAGAGGGTCCATGTTCCCAGGTGCTGCCCAGTGGGAAACCAGGAGGATGCAGAACTTTCAGAACTTCTCTAAGATCACAAAGAAGCAGAAATGCGGCTTAAACCCATTACCTGGCTCTGGAGCCAGGGACAGGAGTCAAGTACGGCAGCGGCTGCCCACTCCCCTGTACTGCCCGTCCAGCAGGCTGACTGAAGGTGCTTCTTTTACTTACCTGAACTGTGCTCAGAGTTCATCTGGGTCCAGCAGCCCAGGGAGTGTCCATGCACGGTTTCTGCTCTACTGTCACATTCTTAGCTGACCACCCCAATGAAGAGGCAAATACAGATGTTCTGTTTAGGCTTTGGGGCCACACCTTGTAGTGCTCAGCATTTACTCCTGGCTCTGTGCTCAGGGGTCTCTCCTGGTGGGACTCACGGGTGAGCCTACCCGGTACCAGGGATCAAACCCAGGTTAGATTCATGCAAGGCAAATGCCCTACCCACTGCCCTACTGCTACAGCCCCTCCCTGAACCATTTTAATATTTATATAGTGACATACAGAAGTTCAGTTCAATCTTTTGCACCTATGTATTAATTAGACTCCTACCTCATTTAATGTTCACTATATGAAAATTAAAATACATGTAAATATATAGTTGCCCCACCTCCACTTGTTAAGCTACTAATTTTCTTTTTTCAACAGAAGGTCTTAGTATCCTTGCCAAAAAACAAAAGAACATAAACAGTTTTATTTCTGAATGCTTAATTCTATTCCATTAGTTGGAACTGGAGAGACAGTACAGGGGGTAAAAATTAGAATCTCAGTCATCCCCACATAGGGAAAGCGCCCCACTCGAGTACTATCACTCTAGTTCCGAAATCATTCAAATTCTTCCTGCAGCACCACTGAGAGCATGTTGGGAACATGGGCAGGACAAGGCGTCTTACACCCCCTAGGAAACTCCCACACCCCTGAAAAGCTGCTCCAGAGAAAAAAATAGATACACAAAGTGAATTCCACCTTCATTTTATTTCAGTTATAAAACAATTGCCAAAATACAGTTAAACACAAACACACACACACACACACACACGCACGCACGCACGCACACACGCATGCACACACGCACATACACAATTTTTAGATCTTCTTTTGTTGCAGAAAATAAATAATGGTCACATATTCCATATGCTTGCCTACAAAAGCATTTCTAAAAATGTTGCTGAATGTAGTCAGCAGTATAATCTTTTTGTCAGTTCTATCACAGATGTCCTAAAGTAGATGATTTTATCTTACTAACTTTTTTAAAGCACTGTAGTCCAGCAATTTTGGGAAAAGGTTTGTGAGCTGAAAAAGCTTATTTCATTGCTTAAATTGCCTGACTAAAAAACAAAAACAAAACAAAAATTCCAGTTAGTTCATTTTATTGAAGAGGAGAATATAGCTTTTCTTTTATAAAAATTACCCCAAAACTCACAAACCCAAACTGACATAAAAAGTTGGTCACACGTCCTAGGAATTACCCAGAAGAAAGGAAGAAAATGTGGGCAGCTGCAGGCTCCCGCCAGCACGATCCAGTGGCTCCAGGCTGGCCCTCCCTAGTGTGAGGACGGCAAAGCCGCTCAGTCATCTAAACCGATGTTCCTGAAAAGGTAAGACATGGACTCCCCATTGTGAATCCGACGGATGGCTTCGGAAAGGATCATGCTGATATCCACAGTTTTAATTTTGGGGCACTGGAGCTTCTGGATTTCGTGTGGGATTGTATTGGTAACCACCACCTGTAAGTTAAGAGAGTCAACATCAATGGAGTCAGAAAACCATCCTGGCTTACTGGCCAAGCAAGTGAAAACACAGATAGATAAATGGGACTATCTTAAACTAAGAAGCTTCTGCACCTCAAAAGAAACAGTGACCAAAATACAAAGACAGTCTACAGAATGGTAAAGGATATTTGCTGAATACACATCCGACAAGGGGTTGATATCAAGGATATACAAAGTACTGGCTGAACTCCACAAGAAGAAAACATCCACCCCCCTCCCCAAAAAAAGGGGGGGTGACGAAATGAACAGAAACTTTCTCAAAGAAGAAATCCGAATGGCTAAAAGGCGCATGAGAAAATGCTCTACATCATTAATCATCAGGGAGATGCAGATCAAAACAACAATGAGAAATCATTTCACACCACAGTGACTGGCCCACATCCAAAAGAACAAAAGCAATTGGTGCTGGCACGGATGTGGTGAGAAAGGGACCCTCCTTCACTGCTGGTGGGAATGCCGACTGGTTCAGCCCTTCTGGAAAACAGTATGGACAATTCTCAAAAAATTAGAAATTGAGCTCCCATTTGACCCAGCAATACCACTCCTGGGAATATATCCCAGAGAGGCAAAAATGTATAGTCGAAGTGACATCTGCACTTGTTTGTTCATTGCAGCACTCTTTACAATAGCCAGAATCTGGAAAAAACCTGAGTGCCCGAGAGCAGATGACTGGTTAAAGAAACTTTGGTACATCTACACGATGGAGTACTATGTAGCTGTTAGAAAAGATGAAGTCATGAAAATTACATACAAGTGGTATTACATGGAAAGTATCATGTTAAGTGAAATGAGTCAGAAAGACAGGGATAGACACAGAAAAACTGCATTCATCTGGGGAACATAAAGTAACAAAATAGGAGACCAACATCCAAGAGTGGATGAGATTAGTACCAGGAGTTTTGCTACATGGCTTGGAGGCCAGCCACAAACTCTAGGGGAAAAGGGAGCTCAGATAGAGAAAGGAACACCAAATAAAGGGTCTTGGGAGGATCCTCCCAGGATGGGAGAAGCATGCTGAAAGTAGACTATAGACCAAACATGATTGCCACTCAATGACTCTTTTGCAAACCACAACACCCAAAAGGAGAGAGAGAACAAAAGGGAATACCCTGCCACAGAGGCAGGGTGGGATGGGGGGATGGGGGGGTGGAAGGGATACTGGGATCCGTGGTGGTGGTAAATGGGCACTGGTGGAGGGATGGGTGTTTAATCATTGTACAGTTGGAACCCAAGCACAAAAATCTGTAAATCTACAACTGTAAAAAAAAAAAAAAGTTAATTCTTCCAAAAAAGAAAACCATCCTGGCTTGATGAGACAATCTGCTTCACCAACACTCATCATCATGGAAAAGTGGAAATGGCTGGACACCAGACCTGCGTGTATGAGACCCCAGGGCTCAACCTCCAGCAAAAAAGGGAAGGAAGGCGAAAGGGGATGGGGGGGGGGGGGTGGAGGAGGGGGAAATGAAAATGCCCTCCCTTCACCCCCACTTATGATAGGAGGTTCCAGTGTGAAACACATGTGCAGTGAAATACTGAGCAATGGAGAGACGAAGTCCTCACACACACTCTGCAGTGACTCCGAAAACCCTGAGCAAGTTGCCAGACGAGCTGCCCACACCGGCTGGGTGATCACAGTTGGGCGATCACATGGTCAGGAGACGCCCAGATTGTCGGTCTTGGCGAGAGTGGAGGAAAGAGAAAAGGGGGTGTGGGGCTAATTCTGTGGCTGTGGTTACTTCTGGGGAGCTGATGAAAATGTTCTAAAGGGGACTGTGGTGGTGACAGTGGGATTCTGTGAATATGCTAATAACCACAGAATTATATACAGTAAATCAGTGTGAAGCACACGGTCCACAGACCTGTTTTTTCATTTTTTTTTTTTCTTTTTTATTAGTGAAATGACATGAGGTACAGTTGTAGATTTACAAATTTTTGTGCTTGGATCTCGGTCATACCCCGATCAAATACCCATCCCTCCACCAGTGCCCATTTTCCACCACCAGGATAATATCCCTCCCCCCCCATCCTCCCATCCCCCCATCCCCCCCTGCCACTGTGGCAGGGCATTCCCCCCTGTTCTCTCTCTCCTCCTGGGCGCTGTGATCAGCCAAAGAGGCATTGAGTGGCGAACATGTTCAGCCCAGTCTACTTTCAACCTGCATCTCCCCTCCTGGGAGGATCCTCCAAACACCCTCCACTTGGTGTTCCCCTTTCTATCTGAATTGTCCTTTCCCCTAGAATACCCAGCTGGCCTCTAAGTTATGGAGTAATTCTCCTGGTGTTGCTCTCAGCTATTCTTGGGTATTAATCTCATATTTTATTATTTTATATCCCCCAGATGAATGCTATCTTTCTATGTCTATCCCTCTCTTTCTGACTCATTTTGTTTTTTCATTTTTTATTTTCTGGATTCTGAGTCATACTCCGTCATGCTCACGGTGACCGTGTAGTGCTGGGGAGAGAGAACCCAGAAGCCCATGGGCAAAGCTCAGACTGTGAGGCCATAACTACAGTCCACTACAATGTTCGTTTGCTTGTTTTTTTTTGGGGGGGGGGGCGGTCGGGGGGTTGTTGGATTTGGCTCATACCTGGAGTTGCTCAGGGCTCACTCTTGGTGGGAATTTGGGGAACCACATGGGATGCCGGGGACTGAACCTGGGTCAGCCACATTTAAGGCAAGTGCTACCTGTACTATCTCGCTCTAGCCCAGAGTCCAGTATTATTTTTAAATATTAAGATTTAATAAAAATCAAGAAAGAGGCAACTAGTTCTTCTTCTCTGGGGGTCTCCCAAGGGTGCTCAGGAGGCTCGGGGTGTTCCTGATGATGGGTCTGAAGAGGTACTGCTGCTTGGCAAAAGAGGAAAAAATACTCCGCCTCTTAAATAAAAATAGGGCACAGTAATAACTCCGTATACTATATTATAAACTCCCAACTTCCAAAATAACCCTTAAGACAGCCTCCCTCCCTCTCCCTCCTGCCCCTCCTACCCCCATCTTCTCTCTCTCTCCACCCTCTCTCCCCCCTTGTCGCTCCCTCCCTCACAGCTTCCACCCCCACCCAAGGTACATAATGATTTCCAGAACCAACGCCTAGGATGTCTAAGCCTAGCCTAATGTAATCACTATGACTAGTTATTTTATATTTGATCTTCCCAGTAACAAATCCAAAACAAACACATGGAGGTTAGAGGCACGGGATAGGGGTAGGGGCTCGCCCTGCACTGCTCTATCCTTGCAATGGTTCTCTGAGAGCCCATGAGAGTAACCCAGAGCACAGCCAGAAGCTTCAAGCACCACCAGGTGTGGCCCAAACACTTGGAGGGACGAAGTCTCACGACCCGTGAGAGAGAGAACAGTTCTCAAAGGAAACCCTGCTGACAGGAACCATGGCGTAACGGTGGACACTAGCTGCCCGCTGAGAGCACCGGGGGGCCTTGTGGGCGCCCTACTCTCTCTCTCTGACTTTTCTCTTTGGGGAAAAAGTTCTCCACTAATCCTTATTCTGTATTTTATTCTTTACTGAAAAAAAAAAAAAGTAACAGACTTATAATTCCATATGGCTCCTGAAACAAAAGCCGTTTCCAATCCTCATCACTGCCCCTGGGCTGCAAGACAAGGGCAGTGGGGGAACAGCCCTTTCTCCATCTCTCCCTCCTTTTACTTTCTGTGGTCTCAAGTCCACCACTAACTTTACACCGTTTATACAGGGCTGGGGAGACTCAACAGGCTGGAGAATATGCGTTGCAGGGAGACCTGAGTTCAATCCCTAGCACAGTCAGGAGTGAACCCTGAACACCCAGTGGGAGTAGCCCTGGAGCACTGCTAGGGGGTGGCCCCAAAACAAAAGAAGCAAAAAAAACCCACCTTTCTGCTTTTTGCTACTTATGGCTTTCTAATCTACTATACAATCCTATTCTGAAGCTGCTGAGTGGACGCAGTCTGCGTGCAGCTCAGTGCTGGCCCCTCTTTGTCACAGTCACACCAACATGGAGGCGTGGTGCGGACAAGCGCCCACTCTAGACTCGGCTCTGCTTCCTCGGGCTGCTCCTGCTCTTGGCTCTGAAACGCCTTTGCCATCCTTTGTGGTTGGCAGGGCTGGCCTGAGTTGCGCCAGGCAAGTGTGGCCTTCTGTTTCTGCTGTGGCTTCCTGAGCCCAGAGAGCTTCCACTGAGGAGCAACAAAGGGGGACTAAGGAAAAGAATTTCCACCAATTATGACCCAATACCCAGGGCAATGTAGGGACTGATGCTTCCTAGGAGAGAATAAATCATGTATATAACCTGTCCCCAGCAGTCTAGCTGGCCTCTGGAACGAGGAGCGGGAGCCGGGGGCAGAGGAGAGTGGAACTGCATGGCCTCCCTGGAGCAGTGGGAGCTGCAGGTAGCAGGTGACACACTGGTGCCACCCTCGCTCCATCCCACAGGCACATGTACCGGGGAGAGGGCTGAACTCTGGCTTCAGGCAAACCCGGGCTTGACCGCAAGTGCTGCCTCATGATTTCCAGCACCCGTATGTCCTCTGGGCACATCAGGAGTGATCCCTGAGCACAGAGCCAGGAGTAAGCCCTGAGCATCACCAAGTGTGGCCCCAAAACAAAACAAAATGAAACACTGGGTCAGAGCAACAGTACCATAGGGAGGGCACTTGCCTTGCATGTCGCCAACTCAGCATCCTATATGGTCCCCTGAGCAATGTCAGGAGTAAGACCTGAGTAGAGAGCCAGGAATAACTCTGAGCATCACTGGGTGTGGCCCCCCAAAAGCAAATCAAACAAAAACAAAAACTCTGGGTGAGTATCTGACTCAAGAAGTCTCTTAACCTTACAGCGCATAATCTCAGCTCTCCGAAAGGGGTGCTGACCCCCAGGCTGTGGGCGGGTACAGAACTGACAGTGCTGCGTGGACCACCCCGATGAGTAAGGGCGCTCCACAAGTAAGAGGGCACTGACAGAGCCCGCAGGGTGCAGTGGGTGGGACACAGACCGCGCCCATGCTGGAACTCACTCCCTTCAGACATGCCATCCCTCCCCACTCTTGGTACCTCGTCGATGGCGGATTCCTCGATCAGTCGAGGAGCGTCTGAAGACAACAAGCCATGGGTGGCCATCACGAAGATCTTGTAAGCCCCTCTTTCCTTCAGCGTCTCTGCAGCAGCAAGAAAGCTGTCAACATCGTCGATGATGTCATCCTGTCAAATTACAGAAAGTTTTTGAGTGCCTCCCAGGGAAGTCCAGGTTGGTGCTTCCCAGTGTGGGCAAAGTGCCTCCCTCCCCCACCTCACAGGACCTGGGACAATCTGGGGGCAGCAGTAGCCTTGGGTACTTTGTGTGTGTGTGTTGGTGGTAGTGTGTGTGTGTGTGCTTTCTTTTGTTCACTTAAAGAAGGCAGATTTCCAGGGAGAACCGAGTGACTTATTTTTTCTGAAGGAATGGGGGTGGGGGAGAGGTTGGTAGGTGAAATCAGTTTGGACACCTATGGCTGAGATAGCCAGGAAGAAGGTGGGTCAGACCGATTTTACCATGTCAGACTGACAGGGCCTCTAGTACCAAACAGTGGCACGTTACCTGGATTGTTACCATGCCCACCATGCAGTCCCCATGCCAACAGTCCGGTGCTCACTGCCAACCCTCTGTTCGAAAGTGGCCTTCACTGCACACAGGCTTGGACATGCCTGAGCAAGTGTCTGGTGTTAGAGCTGACAGGGACTCTCACTCTGGGCGCATCTTTCCTCTCCTCATGCTCCTTTTCCTCATTCTTCAATCTTCCTCCACTGGGTATTTAGGAAATAGTTTTATACCAATTTTTTTTGTTGTTTGTTTGTTTGTTTTGTATTTTGGGTCATACCCAGCAATGCTCGGGGGACCATATGGGATGCCGGGAATTGAACCCGGGTCGGCCGCATGCCAAGGCAAACGCCCTACTCACTGTGCTATTGCTCCAGCCCCCTACATATGCATTTTTAATGTAAAATGTGTCTACTGGCTTCTGGGCCATACCTGCCAGAGCTCAGGGGCTGTCCGTGCCAGTGGTGCAGAGGGGAGCATGCGTACCAGGAGTTCAGTCCTTGGAGTGCTCTCCCTGGCTTAGTATTATTATTATTTTTTTTAATAAAACACTCTTGTTGTTAACTAATGATTTTAAAGGTGGTCACATGTCTCACATGTATGGGGTCATAGGTTCAATCACCACAAAATAATAAGGATGACTTATCCAATTATTCTAAAAGAAACTACAGCTGTGGCCCGCCGGTGACATTAGAGGATTCCAGGCACTGAGGGAAATATGGGCCCATTCATGCAGAGCCTCAGTAAGCTGGACCTGCTGCTCTGGGGACACGTGGGTCCCCAAGAACACTGAAATGCACCTCCACAAACAACACTGTAGCTCAATGCACCTAGAAAGACTCCCATGTGCCAGAATGTACCGGTTTCATTTGGAAATACAAGAACTGTGTTCATGCCCCACACACAGCAGAGTGTGCCGCTCAGGAACCTCAGCAAGGGCCATGCAAGCATCCCCATATATACCAGAACTCCATGATGAGAAGACAGAAATAGGAGAACACACACAGACTCAGAGTGGGCTGCCAGCTGAGAAAACAAAAGAGACTTTCAGGCTGCTGGCAACCTTGGCAGGAAGGAAGAGAAAAGCCTAGGAGCAGCTTTTTTTTTGTTCACCTGGCGATGCACAGGGGTTTGCTCCTGACTCTGCACTCAGAAATTACTCCTGGCAGTGCATGAGGGACCGTATGGAATACCAGGGATTGAACCCAGGTTGGCTGTGTGCAAGGGAAACACCCTCCCCGCTGTGCTATCGCTCCAGCCCCCCAGGGGCAGCTTCAAGAGCACCATGAGCCCGCTCTACAGTCCAGCCCACTCTGCTTTTCTCGGCTCCAGCCTGCTCTTCAAGCTTGTGCTTTCCCTTGAAAATCTGTCTGTCTTGCTTGTCTATATGTTTCTTTTGCTTTTTTTCTTTACTCTGGAGAAGGCTGTGTTCTCTTGAGCACACACTTTTCCCTTTCTCTCCCTTCATATCTTTCTAATAAGTTTCAATAAAAACCACCTTGCTTCACTAAAAACGAAACAACAAAAACCCAACTCTCCCTCCGCGCCCCCCACCAAAAAAAAAAACACAACCAAATGTCAAACAGGTATCACACTGGTTTCCTCAAGCTGAGTGATGGGTTCCTAGGCATTCGTTTTGTCTGTAAATTATCCGAGCATGAAACATATTCCTTTTGCACACTGGTTTTGTGAGATGTGAGAGGACTGTGTTTTGAATAGTAGTGATGTTTTGATCATAAATCAGTAATAATGTTTTGATCATAAATCAATTCCCCATGTTATGGCTTGCACTGTAGTTCACTGCACAGTAGCAAACTACTAAATAGCAGTTTCTTAATAAACTTCTACACTAATAAACTACTAATGATCTTTTACAACTTTTGGACCAAAGCAAACATTTAGCAAAAGGCAACAAGTTAATGAGAGTTACTCGGCCTTTTCACTGTCGCCACACAAGTGATCAGAAGTGCATGTTAACTATGAGCGTAAGAGACGTCCACGTACCACAATGATGGCGATTCTGCCGCCCACGTCACCAACAACCGTGATTGGGGGTTTTTCCTTAGGAATCAGCACTGGTCAGAATAAACACACACATACACACATCTATGTTAGAAAGTAAACCAGTAGGTCCCGGGAGATAGTTTAAAAGGTTAGTATACATGCGTTTAGCATATGAGGTACCCAGGTTCTGCCCCCAGCACTGCATGGGTCCCTCAAACATCACTGACGGTGACCCCCAAGCATCAAGTTCGGAGTAACCCCCCAAAAAACAAAATGTAAACCAAAATTAAAAGAAGATAAATGTTTCGTGATAGAAAGACCCAGGAAGCTAAGGGGGCTGGGCAACTTGAGTGGCATGCCAAGGCTCCAGGCAAGTCTCGAGGCACACCCAGTGTGGTCCTGTGGCCCCCAGCACTGGCAGGATGTAGGGCACTGGGCCGATGTCACCAGGAGTGGCCCCAGGTCCCCGAGCACATCTTGGGAGATGTGCCCCACACAAATACTCTTGAAATCTATTCACCTTCTAGCTGGAAATTTATATTTTTTTGCCCATTCCCCTCTTCCATTTTGCTCTGCTTCTATGAGTTTGGTGCATCTAGATTTCACATGTAAGCGAATACAGAATTTGTCTTTCTGACTTATCTCACTTTAGCTTAGTGCCATTGACGTAATCCACATGACAAAGAATAAGGACTTCCTTTTACGACTGAATATTCTGTGATGTGTATTGAAATACATGTATGAAAACATTTGTGCACATACACCTAAAACATAGACATTTTCTGGGCATGTGCACTACACCTGAGCGATCTCCAAGCCTGAGCACTATGTTTATTTATACATAGACATATACATAATGATATGTATGCATGTGTACATTAGTCACACAAATATACATATTCCTCATACGTATTTATATGAGAAGACGTATATATTTGGTTTGCTTCTATCCATCTCAGGGAGCACCTGGACTGCCGCTGGCTCAGTGCCTGGAGGCTGATCTGGCAGTCAGAGCAAGGGCTCCCACCTGGCCTCCTCACACAAAGCACAAGCTCGAGCCCACTGATACCTCTTTCTGGGCTAGTGCATAATTTTTTCATTGGAAAGATGTTATTAGACAAGAGATAAGTTTTAAAAACAAAAGCAAGTTCACACAGACAAACGCTACCAACTCTATCCCAGCTAGACGCCCTGATGGTCCTTGCGGGAAGACAGGCCAACACTGCTGTATTTGGATTGATCCTGTTTTTCAGGCTTTCAGTGAAATCTCACTTCAAAGGGTTGTTGGTTAGTGGAACTGACACCATGTAACTTATCCAACCCAACCTTTGGTAAGCCATGTACCTTAGGAATGCAGTATTTTGCATTTCAAATCACTCTAGGTACTGAACTGTTCACCTCACAAAGGAAGACATTTAAGCTCTAAGAGAACATTATATGTATAATTGGCTACATTTCCAACGTTTAGAGTCATCATTAAATTTTAGTTTTCTGGGGGAAAAAAAATCACTCCAAGTGCTATGGAGTGATTCAAAAGGGGTGGGTGCAGCCTTGCAGGTGGAGGCGCACATCCAACCCCAGCACTGCAAGTTCTTCTGAGGACCCTTAGGCTGAGCACTGACCCTCCAGGCTCGCACTGCTGGGCTGAGTATCACTGGGATTGGTTCCTAGATGCTCTAAGTGCTGCCTGGAAGGCCTCAAAGTTTAAAAAACTAAATAACTATGATGAATAATTAACTGTGCACAGGAAGAGGTTTCTTGCACATGTGAAACTATACACTAGGACAGAAAGCTGAATGAACGAATAACATTCCCCTGAAATGCCAGAACTGAATCTAACTAGTTGGAGCTTCAGAAGTGCACCTGGGCAAAGAGGTCAAGGGAATTAACACCTTTTCTATAGACTTAAGAAATAAAGAGAAGAGGAATGTGACAAAGAGGGGCCAGCCCACTCACTGGGGATCTCCAGGCTGGGGTGGATGGCAGCCACACTCCTGACCATGGGCGGGGAATGCCGTCCATCCACCAGGTCCGACTCAGCGTCCTGGGCTTCTCCGTGGATCACTGCGATGCCCAGCCGCAGGCGCTCAGCGAAAGACTGTGCCCTGGAAGACAGCATGAGATCCAGTTAAAGCATTGTGGGCTTCGTGCTGACAGCTACGGGAGAAACAGAACAAGAACAAAAATGAAATACCCATTCATTAATTAACGAATGATTAAACCATCCGAGAACCCTAGAATGCAGGAGGGAATGTGAATACCCTTCATGACTAACGTGTCTCTGCGGTGATGGGCCTGCAGCCGGTACTCGGGTGGGTCTGAGTAATTCAGGGACCTCCGATAAGCCTGGTTCCTTACTGGAAACTGCTCACTGTACCAGGTTATCACAGAATAGTGAGAACTGAATAATGAATGAGAACACAACTGTGCGCCCAGGTATATGAAATATCCTTCGAGGGAGCCGGGGCAGAGTGTCTGCGTTGCAGAATGAGGCAGTGAGTTTTGAAGCCTGGCACGACAACAAAGTATGTGATTCAGTGTACCACAACCCAGAGTGCACGAGCACCAAAAACACATACGGGCAACCCCTAATGGAACAACAACCAATGGCAGGGCAGGGAGAGAAACATCCCTGACATAAATACCCACTGCGATATTATATGTAAACTTTTATCAGCTCCCTGAGTATATCTGAGATACAATAAAGCAGACAAATGGATGGGTAGATAGTATTTTCTGTAGGGTGGACAGAATGCAAGGAATGGACTTTACTCCCAAGTCCCATCCTGGGCCCCTAAACTGTATTCATTTAAGCTGTGTAGTTTCATAAGCTCTAGCATATATTTATATTCATATAAACACCAGCATAGTCATAACAATGAAACTATTTAAGACTGTCAAATGTTTCGTTGCATCTCTAACTTCTTCCTCCAGCACCAGGCACCCAATGACCTGCTCTCACCATAGTTTTAACTTTCTCTCTAGCCCCTTATTTGGCTCTCTGACAAAACTGGCTGGGGAGGAAGCTCCGAGGGCCGCAGCACGCGCTTGGCACACACCGTGCCCTGAATTCAACCCCCAGAACTGTCTGGTCGAGCCCTGTGACCTCCCAGCAGTGCTGGGGAGACCCCACGTGGGAGACTCCGTATATTTTTCCTTCAATGGCCAAACTGTCTGCCCAAAAGAATTAGCACTGTTGCTTAGAGCAGAGCTTCTTAAACTTTTTCCTCTCGCAACCCCTTCACCAGAGAAATGAAACACAGGCAAGAACTTTCAGAAAACACCTCAGACTCATTATACATTTGATTATGAATTTCGGTCAATATATGTTCAGAAACCTGTGTTACTAAACTTGCTCTGATACCCACATTCATTCACACACAACCCTATGGGTGATGACCCAGTTTGCTTTGTCGGTACGTGGTCCTGAGTTTGACTCCTCAGAGACAGAAGATCTCCACTTTTTACCCCTCAGTTATCATGAGCAAACAATTTCAGACAGCTCATTAAAGCCACGCTATAGTCTCGGGTGACCCATTTTATTAAAGCAATTATTCGTCAAACACCTTCCCACTGAGAAAGGCCTTAAGGAGCCCAGGGCACGGCATCCCTCCCAGTCTCGGACGCTCACTCAGCAGGGGTCAGCAGGGGAGACGCTCCTCTGTGGACCACGTGTCTCCAAGAGAGCTGCACTCCAGTGGGAAGCCATGGTTTTGACTACTAGTTTAACAATCTTCCTGCTGCCCCAGGCTGTCTTAGAAAACAAATGTTTTCTAAGGTTAGTTATCAAGGAAGAACCTGGAGGAGGAAGCTTAAAACAGCAGCCAGACAACCTTAAGGGGCAGGTCACTCGTGTGAGGCGAGCAGCCAGAGTGGCCTGGGCCCTTTGAGCCCATAGCAGCAAGCCCCGCAGAAAGCACTGTGCCCACCCCCAAAGTGCAGCTAGTCAGCAAAGGAGGCGCTGCTCTGGAGGGCGTGTGCTCCTCTCAGGCGGCCCACACACCATCCTCCAACCGAGCACAGCCTGGAGGTTGCTAGTCACGCCTCGGGCCCTCCCAATGCCAGTGCACAGGGGCCTCCGTTTCCTCAACTTTGGGGCGTGGGATGGTTTGGGGCTACCCCAGCTCAGGGCACCCTACCAGCAGTGCTACATAATGAAAGACGAAATCGTGTCTCTGCTATAAAACATCAACGGAATCGGAAGGTGTCATGCTAAGTAATGTAAGTCAGAAATAGAAAGGCAAAGAACAAAGGTAATGAGGCAGGCGATCTCACTGATAGTGGTCATATGTAAGAAACAAAGCAAGGGAACAGACAACCGCCGACAAAAACAAACTCTCAAACCACAGAACTCAGGAGTCCAAGGAGGGGTAGGAGGTGGCCTGGGAAGAGCCGGGCATCATGGTGGAGGTCACTAGCATGGACACAGAGGCCAGGGGAGGGCCAGGTGTGGAGCCCTGAAACATGGATCGACAATTTTTTTTTTTTTTTTTGCTTCACACCCAGCGATGCACAGGGGTTATTCCTGGCTCTGTACTCAGGAATTACTCCTGGTGATGCTCGGGAGATCATATGGGATGCTGGGAATCGAACCCGGGTTGGCCGCATGCAAGGCAAACACCCTACCTGCTGTGCTATCACTCCAGCCCCGGACCTACACTCTTATCAGCCAAAGTCACCTCAGTCAAAAAAGAAAAAAAAAAAAAAAAGCTAAGTGACACATTACCAAGACAGAAAGTATCATCTCAGGTCTAACTCTGACAGAAAACAGGGTATCGGAATAAAAGAAAACCAGCACTACAGAGGCATGAGAGACACAGAGGGTCACCATATCAAGGTTACAGCATGACAAGCAATGCTAGAGTTCTCCTGATGCCTTTGACGGAAGACGGAACTCCTAAGTCATTCTGTGTTACTCTGTTCTGAAGATGAGGCCCTGATCATCAGCACCCATCTCCGTCCTCAGAGATTTCATCAATGCTGTGTGACCAAGGTGGACTTAGGAATTACAAAAGCTGCAGGGAGTGGAGTTCATGTCCAAATTCAATCAGCTTAATCAATGGCTGAACAATCAGCAGTACTCCTACATTATTTAAAAAAAAAAAAGCTGCAGGGAATAAAAGATGGTGGATCCTTGCAGCAGTCTACCTGAGCACCCAGCAGGCAGCAAGCATGGACACAGGATGTCTGCAGGCTCTGGAGGAGCAAGGCCACGGTCTCCACGTGGCTGGGATTCAGACACATCAAATGAAGACCAAATGGAAGGACAAGCCAAATTCAATCACATTTGGCCAACACCCAAGTTCTATAATCACAGCTGTGGATAATATCCCCCAAAATAATCATCCCAAGAAATAATTAGTGGTGCCACCACTGTCCAATAAACAGCACCCAGTTGAATCATCTTGGAGAAGCTGCACGTCCCTGGGTCTGTCTCTTCATCTGCGAGATAATAAATGCTGACTTCCTGGGCTGAGGACATCCAGTGTGATCGTGTTGATGTCTTACTCAGTTCCGGCTACTGGGACAGAAAACCACAGACTGGGGGAGGGACGGGTGCCACCAGGTAGCTCAGCAGTAGAGCACTTGCCTTGGCTGGGTGAGGCTCTGGGACTGAGTCCCAGCACCACAGGAATGGTGGCAGAAGGCCACAGACAGGGTGGTTTAAGCAACAGAAATTCGTTTCTCGCAATTCTGTAGCCTTTCAAGATGAGGGGACAGGCAGATCTGGCACCCGGAGAGGACCCTTCTTGGCCTGCAGATGGGCCGGGGGGGGGGAGGGGGGAGGCTGGGGGAGAGGAAGAGCAGACAGCAGCAAGCCTTCCCAGCCCTTCCCAGATGGCCACTCTGCTCCTTCCTGACCTGCTGACCTTGCAGTGCAACTGCACTGCAGCACTAGCATGTAGGGTTTCAGCACAGGAACTTGGAGGGGACACAGATACTGTCCACAAAAGCAGGTAAGACTCTGGCCACTGTCCTGACCCCTGGAGGCATCTTGCTCAGCGGGCTCTGGCCCATGTTATTAGCCCTTGAGTTCTTAGTGAATCATTGTCGCACTAGCAAATGTCCAAGAGACAAGGCAAAGGTCACCGTAATGATTACAAACAACTCTGTCACACAACCATACACCTCATCAGCAAACTATGCTGAAAATGAGGTAAAGATTTCACAAGTTACAAGAAGCCCACCCATAAGGGAAAGCTTTAAAAGAAGAGAAAGTTTTCCCTGGTATTTAGAAAAGATATATAAAATGCAAGTCTACCACTTCCACTAAGAGTATTTCCCCTAGTAAACACATACCCACAATTAAGTAAACACCCTTATTAATGTGTCTGAAACAAGCAGAAAACTCAAAGCAGAGAAAAGGAAGCTGAGAGGGAGACTGGAACTGGAGCACAAGCATGGGAGGGCATTCTTGGGGCTTCCTTTTGACCCAGAGCCCTGCACTTCCTCACAGAGAGCAACCCGAAAATGCCAACAGGCACAGAGGAATGAGAACCCAAAGCAGCCCTGCTCTCTCACAGTCATTAAAATTTCAGACAAATGCTTTTCTCCCGCCAAAAACTCGGGAGAGACTGGAGCAACTCTCCCCACCGAGGCTACACTGCAGCATCGCCAACCTTTGACTGGTGGGTTCATAGAGGAAAGAGAGAGCTGGAGTTCCATCCCTCCTCCTTAGCAGTGAGCATACACCTCCCGTGCCAGTGGAAAGTGAAGCCTGGACTTCTACAACTCAGCAGTGAGGAGGCCCCCACCCCACCCCACCACTGAAGGGGTGTCAGGAGACCTGGAGACCAGGACTCTCACCAACACCCCACAGGAACACCCTCCCTAGTGTCAGTGGAGGTGCTGGGACCACGATCAGGTCCCTGAGCACACAAGGTGTCTGTGACCCCTGAGCTCTCTTCTAGGCCCTTGCAGATACTCTATTTTTTGTTTGAGGGCCACTCCCAGCAGTGATCTGTGCTTAGTCCTGGCTATGTACTCAGGGACCACTCCTTGCAGGGCTTGGGGTTCCACTTGGGATGCCAGAGATTGAACCTGGGTTAGCCACATACAAGGCAAATTTCTTACTCACTGTACTAGCTCTCTGACCCTGTGATTTTGAAATGCCAGATTTAAAGCTCAACAAGTGATCACCGCTTTGACAGTGAGGGAAGCGCTGCAAGGAATTCCTAGGATTTGGATGTTTTGGATCAAGAACCATGACTGGTGAGGCCCAGCGACTTCGAGAGCTCAGTAGCAAAAGCACCTGACTTACAGGTCTGAGGTCAGTTTGGCAGCAAGTTCAATCCCCGTCAGCATCCCTCATGTTTGCAGGGGAGCCCAGCAGCTCTGCTGTCTGATTACCAGACCCCACCACAACAAAGTGTGACATCTCGTGCATTGTAACCAAGACAGGAAAAGCACCGCCACTGAACACTGGGCCACCCTGGGATGACGGAGAGGATGAAAGTTCCACAACCAACCATGCGAGCACCCACAGCCAGGTCTGTACAACTACTAAAACAGAAGGGGAGTGAGCTTCAAAAGAAAAGAAAGATGACTGGCAATCAAGACTGGGATTTGGGGAAAAAGCAGAAAACAAGCTATGGCTTGCTAAAGGAGTTGGCGGAATGCCTTGAAACAACCGTGGCACAGAATAGAAAGAATGAAAATCAGTGGGGAGAATCCAGAACAGCTAAGATCCTATCAGGGATATAATCCCTGGATGCAGACAAAAGAGTGAGCCCACCTACCTCTTGGCTGAGGCTGGAGATTTGGCCACGATCACTGCATTCCTGTAATCCGGGATCTGTGACAGATGAGAGGTGGGGATTACTGCCATGTCTCCGCAGGGCTATGAACAGTGATACCCAGTGAACCATGAAAAGGAACATTCCAACAAACTAAAAAATATCATCTAGCACTTGAAACTTTTCCAGAAAAGGGAAAAATTACTCCTTCAGAAAATGCCTACCAAGGAAAACTCATCAAATTATCATACTCACAAATCTTTCTTCCCTATGGTAAACCCCCAATGTTGTTTGGCTTTATTATGATTATTATTTTGGGGGGGTGGGGATGGGGGGTTTTGGGGGAAGGTAGCCACCCTGGGGAATGCTGAGGGGCCACCAGGGCCACACCCAGCAAACTGTCTGATCTACACTTAAGCCAGCTCCCTGACCCAAGCCTCACAAACTTCTTCCAAGAAAAAAAAAAGTTCTATTTAAAGATGAGCTCATACCTAAGTACTTGCAAACACTAATAACGCTGAAGTGTGGAATAAAGACATTTCTAAGAGTCAACAGGAAGTCCTCTCACGAACACCAGATATATGTCAAGGATGATATCCACCCAACCTGGGATATCTATCCAAGCTAATCGTCAGATTCCAAATTAGTGCAGTGCAAACAAATGACTCAGTACTTCAGTCACAGCAGACTGAAGAAAGCAAAGAGCTAAAAAAAAAAAAACGGGGGCGGGGGGCAAACACCCCAGTGCTGTTTCATAAGAACACCAAGGGTCTTTAAGAAAACACCTGGTCAAGGTCTGGAGCTCAATGGTCTGGAACACAAGCCTGGCACCCACAGGGCCCCCAGACTATCCCTAGTCCCACATCCCTCCCAAGTACAAAAACTGCCATAGTGGCCCCAAGCACTGCTAGAAGGATTCCTCTCCTCACAGAAAAAGGGGGGGGGGGGGGACGGGGACAAAAACGAAAGAAATGAGAAGAATAAAAGCCAGGGAGATAGCTCACTGGGCTCAAGCACATGCTCTACATTTGGAAGCCCTGAGCGCAATTCTTACAACTTGCAGTCACCAGGAAAAGTTTCCCAAAATGAAACAACAAATATATATAAAACAATAGTCTCCTAGGAGTGTTTTACCATTTTGAAGGCACGGCAGTTAGAATAGAGAAGGCACCACTATGACAATGACAGTTGGAAATGATAACTCTGGACAAGAACTTGTGGTAAAAGGAGGTGAAGTGATATGCATGACACCCTTTCAGTAACAGTATTGCAAAACACAGTGCCTAAAGGGGCAGGGGAAGAAAATATGAGAGAGACGAGAGAGAGAGAGAGAGAGAGAGAGAGAGAGAGAGAGAGGTGTCTGTCATAGTAGCAGTCTGTGGGAGTTGGGGGGCAGGAAACTGGGGACACTGGTGACAGGAAATGTGCACAGGTGAAGGGGTAGGAGTTGGAACTTTGTAGGACTAAAAATCAATCACTAACAACTTTGTAACAGTGTATCTCACAGTGATTCAATTAAAACAAAAGAAGTGGAGCTGCTAAATCATATGGAAACTCAATTTGAAGAGAAAGGGGTTTGGAACCATGCCTGGTAATGCTCGGGGCTACTCCTGGCTCTGTGCTCACCAACTGAACTTTGGCAGTACTCAGGGACCATATGTGATATCAGGGTTCTGAACCAAGTCATGGTACTGTAGCTACATGCAAGGCCAACGCCTTACCTCCTGGACTCTCTTTCCTGCCCAAATCATAATTTTTTCAGAAGTGCTATACTATCTTCCTTAGCAGCTGAACTGGACGACATTCCCAAATGAAGGTTGCTTCTTCCCATATCCTCACTAGCAATGGCTGTTACTCCTCTTTGTCAATGTATGCTAGTCTCACTGTGTGAGGTGATACCTAGATCTTTGGTCAAACATTCACTGTCACTGTCCTCCCATTGTTCATCAATTTGCTCGAGAGGGCCCAGTAACATTGTGAGACCTTGTTACTGTGTTTGGCATATTGAATACGTCATGGGTAGCTTGCCAGGCTTTGCTGTGCGGGCGAGATACTCTCGGTAGCTTGACGGGCTCTCCGAAAGGGGCGGAGGAATTGAACTTGGGTCAACCGGGTCGGTCACGTGCAAGGCAAACGCCCTTCTCGCTGTGTTATCACTAAATGTCCATATACCTGGGGGTTTGTTTCTGGGTTGTCAATTCTATTTCTTTAGTCTAAGCATCTTTATTCCAGTACCACATAGTCTTGATTACTGTAGTTTCATAGTATCATTTAAAGCTTGGGAAAGAAAAGCCTCCCATTCCCCCCACCCCCACCCAGGACTGCTTTGGCTATTCTGGGAATTTTATGACTCCATATACATTTTAATAGCGCTTGGCACACGTCCTTAAAAACTGTCATAGGAATTTTTTTTAAATATTTTTTGTTTCGTTTTGTGTCAGGCCCACACTGGCAATGCACAGGGCTTACTGCTGGCAGTACTGGGGGACCAAACCCTTTTATGTGAAGTAAAATAGAATTTATTTACAGAAATTTACTTAGAGAAGCTGGAGCAGCACAGTATAAAAGAGCCAAATAGTACAGCAGGAAAGACACTTGCCTTGCAGGCAGCCAACCCAATCCCTGGGACCCCATACGTTCCCTGAGCACTCCTAGTAGTGACCCCTGAGCACAGAGCCAGGAGTAAGTCATGAGAACAAATGTGGCCTGAAAACCAAAAAAGAAAAAAAAATTTTTTTACTAAGAGAGAGAGAGAGAGAGAAGGAGGGAGGAAGGGAGGGAAAGATTGAGAAGTAGGTAATTCTGGCAGGGCAGAGCATGAATTGCCTGAATTGCCATGGGTTTTTATGCATTGATTTTGCAGCCTACCACATTACTACATAGGCCTATTTTTCTAGGAATTTCAGGGTTGACTCTTCAGGGTTTTCTAAGTAAAATATTATGTGATAGGCAAGTCATTTTTGATCTAGATTCCCTTGGTATCTTACTCTTAACTAATTAACATAGCAAGGACTTAAGGACTTCCAATACTATGTTGAAATAGTGATAACAGACATCCTGTCATATGTTTGATCTTAGATGAGCGACTCAGTGTTTCACTGAGTATAACATTAGCTGTGGGTTTGTGGCAAATAGCTCTTACTATATTGAGTAAAGTTCCTACTATCTTCATTTTGTTGAGCACTTTTCATGAATGGGTGCCAAAAACTGTCTCTGAGTCTATTGATATGATCATATGATTCTCATCTTAATACACTGACTTGCCTGTTTTAAATCAACCTTGCATTATTGGGATAAATCCCACTTTAATCATGGTGTATGACCCTTTTAATGCATTGCTGGATTGAGTTCGTTACTATTTTATTGGGATATTTGCATCCATGTTCATCAGAGATATAGTTCTGTAATTTTTTTTTTAATGATGTCTCTGTTTGCTTTTGGCATCAGAGTAATATGGGCCTCACAGAAACTGTTAGAGAGGATTCTTGTTTTTTCAACTTTCTGGAAGAGCCTGAAAAGGACAGGAAGTAGATCCTCTTTGGAAGAACTCACTAGGAAACCAATCTGGACTTGGGCTTATGGTTTTAAGGAGACTTTTGATTACCTTAGGAGTTTTGATTTTCTTGTAGCTATTAGTCTCTACAGGTGTTCCACTTCTTCCTGACTCAGTCCTGGGAGGTTACAGGATTCTAAAAATGTATTTATATCTTCTGGGTTCTCCAATTCCGTGGCATAATATTTTTCGTAGTAATACTGGATGATCTTTTGTATTTCCGTGGTATCTAACATAACTTCTCCCCTTTCATCTGTCTCTGAACTGGCTGATCAGTGTTTTCTTTTAATCTCTGTGAGTCTGCTGGTGGTTTGTCATTTTTGTTCTCTCAAGAACAAGCTGTGGGTTTATATTGTGTCTTTAATTTCTATGTACTTGATTTCTACCCTGTTTAATCACTTCCCTCCTACTTTCTTTACAGTCCCTTTATTATTTCTAGTACATTAAAACATTTTTATTATGTTTATACTGTGTGACATTTACAGTCTTACCTCCCCATCAAGGTGCTCAAGATACTTCCTGTATCATATCCCATCTACCACCTACCTGGCTTGGAATTACCAGTTTGTATTCCAGTACAAAGAGTTTGTTATTAATTGATGTTATCTATTCCCTTGTTTTGTTTCCCTGTACACCACAGATTTTTCTAGTGACTTAAGATGTGTAGTTAGATTACTTCTTTGGGCCTTTGCTTGTTTCCTAGTATTGCCTGATTGCTATGAACTTCTCAGAATAGCTCTTGCTGTATCCACAATGTTCTTCATCTTGAAAATGTCTCATGTGCTTGAGAGAACAATGTTTACTTGACTTCTGGGAGGTAGAATGCTCCATACATGTCTATTAGGTCAGTTTCTTCCATTTTTTTTTCTTTAAACCCAATGTTTCCTTATTAATTTTAGGACTATTTGATCTTTCCAGTGAAGGGTGTTAAAATCTCCTACTACTATTAATTTGTTGTTGGTATATTTCCTTGGGTCTAGTAGCAGTTGCTTTACAAATCCTGTTCATTCTACGTTAGATGCATGTATGTTTATGAGTGTAAAGTCTTTCTGATGTATAGATCACTTGGTCAGAAAATAATCACCATCCTTATAACCTGCTTTACTTTGTTTTTGTTTTTGGGCCATGTCCAGCAGTGCTCAGGGCATACTTCTGGCTCTATGCTTAGAGATCACTCCTGGCAGTGCTACAGGGACTATATAGGGTGCTGTGCATTGAACCCAGTTCAAACTCATGTAAGGCAAACCCTCTACCTGCTCTATTATTGCTCCAGCCCCAAATCTGTTTTACTTTGACATAAATTTGACCATCCACTGCTTGCCTATACAACTGCATTTGTGCCTTTTAATTTGAACCTGTACTCATTATGACTCTTGGGTATATACCTTGTAGGTAGCAGAAAGTTGAGTTTATACTGCCATGCTGGGTCTTTTGATTGGCGAGTTCAGGCCTTTGACATTAAGCAAGATTCCTGAGATGAAGGAATTTATTGCCGTCATTTTATAA